TGAGCACGCGTTTGTCAAAGTGGTGACGACGTCCTGCCGATTATGTGAAGGAACTTTTGGGTCTACGCCACATGAGGGAGTATATGCGGCGAAAGAGGCACGTAGCCAGGATTTTGATTCGGGAAAAAAAAAAGGGGGGGGGGGGGGAGGGGGGGGAGGAGGTAGGAGGCCCCAGCAAAATGGAAGCGGTTGAGAAAATTTTTTATCGTCAATCGAACGCATGGCTGGGGTGAGGCCTTGACCAACACTAACACTTGACCAGCACCGCTAAGTGGGGACCCCATATCTTGCTATACTCCATTTCACATTAAACGCGCCCGCGGCCAATCTCTTCGATCTGATGGAGCAAATCAAGCAGCACAAAAAGTGCAACGTCACGGTGCTCGTCGTCCTTGTGCGGTGTCTATCACCGGCTAAATCGATCATGCACGAAAAAGAAGCGCGGGATCGCGGTGCATTTACTCTGCGTGATTGTTTCATTGGGCTATAGCAAACGCACAAAGACGATGCACTTTTGGTGCCGCTTTCTTGCTTCCATAGGATCGTATACATCGGCTGCGCTCGAGTATGTATGTTTTCTGTGTCATATAGATGTCGCCAAATTCGAGTTCGAACAAGTTCGAATGTTTCAACTCATGTTCAACTGTTAAGCTCACGAGCAAAAAGGAAAAAAAAAAAAAAAAAAAAAGAAAAGAAAGAAAGCTGTAACGGTTTTTGCCGGAAGAGGCGTGCAATATTTGTTTCTACAGGAAACGCGTGCACGTGAGTGAAAAATCAGCACAACCAACCTTCCTCTCCAGTTCCAAGACACGCGCAACGCGTTACGTATTCAGTTCCTTTTTTTTAACGAGTTACTTTATGGGAGAAGGAACGAGTAATGTATTTTCTTTACTTTTTGGTGAAGGGACAAGCAACGATATTAAGTATACTTCTTGCGTGGAATCCGTACAACACAAGTACCCAACTATAGTTCTCAACCTAGCTTTCGCCTGTAATTTGCACGACAAGAATACGCTAGATAGACCATAAGAATGTGCATAAGGTATGTCAGTATAGCCCCCGTTATCTGTGAAAGAACACGTTGATAAGACCAATAAATTTTTGACGACGGAAAATATTGGAAGCGGCCATTGCTTCATAAAAACGCCACATTCGTTGTAACGAGGAAACAACGCGTTACAAGTTTTTAAGCTAAGCTATACTTTGTCTCACCCTACGATGGACTAAAGGCAGAAGCTAGAGCTTGATCCAATCACGAGCCACTTACAAGTTGCGTGGTATTTCGCTTTGATGCGCGTATCGGCACCCGCGTCTCGAATCACTAATGGGGAGGGGCGGACGGTAGTTTGGATTGAATAGCACTGAGTGACTCAACAATTTTACATTGCAAAGAAAGCTATGTCATACAGGCTCTTTGCAGTGTCGAAGCTATAAAAATGATGCAGCGCTTTTGGACTGGGAGGATCATTCGTCCACCCCTAACCAATGCTAAGCGTGTCATATTTTAGCTTGCAACGTGATTGGACCTTGCGGCCCGTGGCTTTGGCCTTTAGTCCATCGTAGGATGAGACGAAGTATAGTGCGTTCCTTTGGAATCTCCGTAACGAGTAACGTACTTCGTTAATTTTCGAGGGAGGAACCAGTAGAGGCGTTTAGTTACTCCATTTCAGTAACGCGTACATGTCTGGTCACGAGGCAACATGTCTCGAAAATCAGACACGTGGTAGGCTCTATTACGCCATGTCTTTTTGCGTGTGTGATTGCGCGTTTCGTGTCAGCTTCTCACAATTTCGCTCAAAACAATGGACGCGTCGGCGGGAATACCACGAGGTATTTCCGCGATTACAAGCGCGAGCACAAAACCTGTCTTCTTAGCTGCTGTTGCCTTCGTAGGTGAGGGACCGGGGTTAGCCACGCTAATTGGCAGCAATCAACAAACAATGCGACGCTTGCACTTAGGCCTGTTTGCTTGCCTCATTAAAAAGTGCGAGTAGTGTCTGTTGACGCGTTGGTGGGGAAAAATCCTCGCCAGCTTTCCAGAGCGGCGAAATTGCATGAGTTTCTGTGAATTGCGCGTCTGCAGCTTCTCAGAAGGTTTCTTCCTCTTCGAGAAACCCCCGAGATGTGTTCGCGACATCCTCACAGGAAAATTCTACTAAGATTTGTTCGGTTTTTTACATACCACGTGGTCGGGCCCCGATTCTAATGTTCGGAATTAAATATCCACTTTTTTGTTTAATTCAGCGGAACGAAGGCGCCTCCATTTTGCTCCTTATGTGCAGAGGGGGCGCAAGTGGCGATAGCTATACGATTACAAAATGCGATTTTCCGCGGCTTTAGATACCCAGTCAAGAAATCTCAACCGCGGAATGATTGAATGCTTCTTGAGGACGGAAAAGCGTTTCCTGCAATTCCAGATAAACCTTCAAATGACTGGCAACAATGGCTTTAAGCACCAAGATGGCTTAAGTGTAATTATCTCTGAAGCGGGCAGGAAAAAAAAAAAAGTCCGGCACCTCGCGGAGCATTACCAATTTACTCCTTTGAAGAACTACTTCGTGCGGCGTATGACCAATGCACAGGACTTCCTTTTTTCTTAAGGTTGAAACGAGTGTAATCCCAATTGTCTTAAATTTTTGCACTGAAATGATCGGTGCTCGAGAGTTTGACGCGAAATTTAGCGAGCCGCTAATGCCGCCGTAAAATGAAATCTAAATACAGAAGGAAGAGGCCACCGGAGAATTCAAAAGTGCAAGTCCGCTTTCGGTGTTCATCGAAATTCGGAGGACTTCACTGATATTCAGAACGCCGCCAGAAAGTTCTTTTGCATCTTGAAAAATTCTCAACAAATAAACTGCATTGTGTATTCCTTGAGTTCTTATAGTCACGTCGAAAGATACACTATTCATATGTTGAAGCGCCATATACACTCGAAGTTGTTATTCTAACATTTGAAGCGTAGTTTACAACAACAACAAAAAAACAAGAAAGGCGCTTTTTACTATTACTTTGTAGTCGTGGTGAAAACTACTAATTCGCCCTTAAATTAGGAGTTTAGGTACACATTGTGAGTATTATTTGTTCTACGTGAATTCTATCTCACTTGAAATTATCTTGTTTCTGGGAACTCCCAAGCAAGGTAAAATAGCGCAGTTTCAAGTATACTTATCACATTCAAACTGTTGTCCTCTGCCAGTCTGCCCACGTACCAGATGGCCTTCACCGTCCGCCTTATTGCTGTAGTTATTGTAGCTATAAAGACACAATTTTAACCTTGTCTTATATCACTCGCCCTTCATGCCCAACTTCCTTTTGCTTCTTGACCACTATGTATACCTGTAACCCAACTTAAGCCATAAACCAAACAAAAGCAAAAAAACCAGATGAAAATAAAAGAGCTATAAAAAGTGCGGTAACCTACAGATATTAGGCAGGTCTTCCAGAAAATGCTGCGGACGCTTACGGTTGCTTTTAAGCTCGTCATGCTGCTTGTCTGGCGGCATTTTGCGTGCTACTTTGTGTTCCTTATTGGGGGTATTTACTGGACACCATATTTGACAGCTATGTTTAGGGCGCAGACTCAGAACGAGCTCAAATTACTAGGCTGCTAAGACCTGTAATCTTGATGGTGTGGAATGCACGTTGCAAAGAAACTGTGGAAGCTAGACTTCAGCGCGCTCCCAGCAGTCGCGCGTACAGCGATGGCCGAGGGAATACTCCTTATAGTCCAGCAGGAAAGTCTGTTGAAATCGTGGGCTCATCGGGTAATTAAAAGACTCATGGAGGTAGGAAGCTTCTGGGGTTGATATGACGCCACCAGACGTGAAGCCTAGAGACACTTCCGGTCTGGAGAGACACGCCCTCAATGATGACCAAAAACGAAGCAAACCAAAGGACGCCATTGGACGGAAAGGACACACTCGGGGGCGGTGTGTCACCTCCCTTTTTTCGTGACTCCAATGGACTGACTACACCTCCCTTTTTTCGTGACTACAATGGACTGACACACTCGGGGGCGGTGTGTCACCTGTCTTTTTTCGTCCTGTTTGTTCGTGCCTTTTAACCTTTTAATTAATCTTTAGGCCAACAGGTGCTCTGCCTCATCATTCGCTAAGCTGATTTCATAGATCGCAGAGATTGACTCCTTGGGTGTTTTGCGGGTAAGTAGACGCTCAGGCATTTCTTAGAGTGCAGTGGCTCGACACTTTTTGGTGGGGTTGTAAGCACCATGCATGAATGCAGACATTACTATACTTCGTTTCAGCTTCGGTCCGAGCGCGGCCGATGTTATGAGCCGAAGGGTCAATCAAAGAGCGCAAAAAGCGCAGCGTCATGGTGTGCTCTCTGCGCTTGATAGGACTAGCCGGCGGAGGAGCGCGCACAGAGAGACGGCGAATACCGGCTGGTCCTATGAACTGCAGAGAGCACCCCATGACGTTGTGCCTCTTTCGCTGTTTGATTGGCCCTTCGGCTCATAACATCGGCCGCGCTCGGACCGAAGCTGAAACGAAGTATAAGAGCGTCGACTACTCGGCTGTGCCCACTTTCTCCGCGGCATCGTTTGGAAACTGGCGCGGTAACACTCCTGGTACCATCGGGGTTTTACTCGGTTGGGCTAAGACATATATAGTGCATTCATTCATTCGTATTTGCTTTCCGGGACGAAGGTTTCTCGCAAGGAAGTAGATTCAGAAGTCTGGCCAATGGGGGGATCGGTGTCCAGGTGTGTTAGCACATCGGAGCTCGGAGCACGTGGAGCTAAATCCTGCACTGCAGAACCCAGGGATCCTGGGTAATATCCCCTGTTGGTTTTGATCTGGATGGGAATCTCATCGATATATCATTACTGCGCGATGCACGTTGAAGACCTCAGGCTAGCAGGAGTTCTGTATACCGGATAGATGTCTCATCTACGGCAGACACACCAGGTGACTAACTTCACGCGGTCTAAACGTATACACTCAGCACAAATACTTGTACCACGCAGTCGGGTGGCTCACCGTGGTCATGAGCCTCTGCCGCGTCGGCCTGCTGAGGCGCCTTGAGGTCCAGGAGCCTGCAGACCGAGAAGCATCCGGGCTGCGGCGTGTCGGTCCGCGTCGCGGCCCTGGCGCCGCTGGGCACTCCGTGCGGTTCGGGCCCCATCCTCGTTGGGCCGTCGGTTACTCTGCGGGCGCCGCAGCGGCACGGCCGCCCTCTCTGCCAGGGGGTACTACCGCGCGTGGCACGGAGGACGCGTCGTGGCGCGCGGCGGCTGGAGCGGGCAGGCCCGCCGCCGGCGCCAATGGTTCGGTGGGGGACGGGCCACGCCTGCTTCCGGTTGTATTTTGGAGACCGACGATGGGGGAAGTCGAGTGCCTCGGGTCGCCCGCGGGGCAGAGCCCGTGGCTCGGGACTGTCCTGGGCGGACGCGGGCCGGGAGGAGGGGCCAGCTGCGGGGACCTTCTTCTTCTCGGGGTACGCGCGCGCTCCGCTTTCTCCGTCTTTCCATCTCTTCGTGTCAGGCTGGTGTGTCGAGGATGCAAATCTTGCAGAAACAGCGAGGAAATCGGTTTTTTGGGAAGCCCGGGCTTAAAATTAATGTACTCGCTTCGAAGAGCGACTTCAGATTCGGCAACGTTGTGTTTGCGGAGCCGGGCCTTGCGTATGGTATAACTCGCTTGAGTCGAATGAGCTCTCCACGCAGATATTGGCATTACTCTTGAGTAGAGTCACACGCGTCAACAAGGCAGGCGCAAAGCACGATGCTCGAAGCTTTGGGCCGTGGTTACATCGCCAATACAGCATACAAAAGACAGTCTGCTGACACTATTTGAGGCGTATTTTCTTTTCTTATATGACGGTCTCACTTGTCACACAGAAACTGTGTGCACAAATTTTCGAAGCATGCGTATGTACGATCCAAACGCGTTTCCAACATATATGTCCGCAAGACACTTCTGTAATCGTGTTTGCAGCGATCACCGTGTGTTTTGTATAATGTATGAGTATGGCGACTCGTACCCCGAGTACGCTTCACGTGTGCACGCACGTGAAGCGTGCGCGTGAGCGTAGCTTTGGAAAGCTTACATTTGCACGGACTCGTCCGCACGAACAGAGACACGGCGGGGGCCCCCTGTCGCCCCACTTGCAATCGTCTGCACTGTCGCTTCGGTGAAACTACTAATTAAGCTCTCGACGCAGATATTGGCGTTACGCTTGAGTAATCATGCCTCTATAACTATAAAAAAGATAGAAAGTATGTTAACTGAATTTCTTCAGGACACGAGACAGCCAACCACAGCGAGCAATAGAAGGATTCCAACGAATTACGAAGCTCAGAATACGATCATTAGACTAAAAGAAAAAAAATCGGATGTGAGCAGGGACAATGACCTTGACCTTTCACTAGCTCACTGTCCTTGCGCGTGTCGATTTTTCTTTTTAAATGTAGTTGTATGCTTAGTTTTGTCATTTGTTGAGATTCTTCTACTGCTTGCCGTGATTGGCTGTCTCCGTGCTCTGCGGGAAAAGGAACTCACGGAATGTTTCGTATTATGGTGAAAGGAGCAGGCAGGAGGCGCGCTATCCGAAACGTTGTATATCGGTGGTGTCTAGAAAATATCCGATCCTCGTGAGCGTATAGCTCACCCGCCTTTTTTCTTTCTTCCTATTCTTTAGACTGAACGCGCCTAGCGGTGCGTCCAGTCACTACAAATATCCCCACCCACCCCCTTAGAGAGGAGGTAGGACGAACGATCAAAGCACACAAACATCCGGGTGCCAATGAAGTTCACTTTTCTGTGTCGTCTGGTACACTCTGTTTCACCTTATGATGTACCGCAGGAAAGGATCTCGGCGGCTCAAGCTCTCGTGCGTTAAGAACAGCTCCCAACATTATGAGCTCGCGCTTCTAGCCTTCTCTGCGGTACAACATAAGGTGAAACGGAGTATAGATGTCAGGTAACGCTATTTCTTGCACATGTGCTCACCACTCAATATCTGCCGGCTTTAGTCTTTCCAATGCGACTGCGTCGTTCTTGCCGTTGACACGCAGAACAAACGTGTCGCTTCTTTTTTGACCACTGGAAAGGTTCAATGTAAGGTGGACGCAGTGGCTTCTTGGAGGTCTTGGGTCACGTAGGGAGACTTCAAAGTTTCTTGCCGTGTAGGCACCTTTCGCAAATTTATAAAACTTTGCTTGAGTTCTTCCACATGGTCCAAATGAGTTTGTTGTTGAAGCAGTTCCATTTAAAGAAGAAAAAAAACAGTTTCATGGTAAGTGAGGTGCATTGCTGTACACAAGTTCGGCGGTGGAGCATCCGATGTCCACCTTCAAGGCTGTCCGGATTCTGAGAAGCGCAAGGGGAAGATGACAAACTCAATCCGAGGGACCACTGTGAGCTGCAAGGGCCAATTTCAAAAGGCAATGAAATCGACCGACTATCTCGTTCGACTGCGGGTGGTAGGCAGTCGTTCTAAAGCGGTTGGTTCCCAGCAATCGAGTGAGCTCGGCAAAGAGTGACGACTCAAATTGTCAACCTCTGTCGGTGACAACCTCTGAGGGGCAGCAAAAACGGGATACCATGTGACGATAAACGCCCAAGCGAAGGTGGCGGTGGTGATATCGGGCAGTGGGGTTGCCTCTGGCCATCGTGTAAATCTTTCGACGCACGTTAGGACATAGCGCTGTCCCTGAGAAATCGGTAGGGGTCCGAGAAGGTCCAGACTTATCTTATTGATACGGCTGTCTGGAGGGTGGTACGGGATGCCGCCGGACTTTGGCGCACTGGCATGCGATGCTCGAACGCGCACAGTCACGAACGTCGGATTTTATTCAAGCCAAACATAGCGGTCGCAGAGGACCTTCTGAGATGCTCGTGCACCCAGGTGCACTGAATCGCTTCGAAAAACTGCCATCGCAGCTCACGTGGTACAAAAGGCCAAAATGTTTCCGTTGACAGGTCGCAAACCTCGGTGGTGCCTTCTGAAAAGCTTACATCCCGCACTAGCAGTATCGTGGATGAATTGCATAGGGCATGCAATTTTTCGTCGCTGGTCTCTAGATGGGCCAGCAATTCCAAGTTTACGGCAGGAGAAGGTGGAGTGTTGATGGCGTCAATACGGCTGAGGACATTAGCGGGGACGTTGTCAACTCTTTTCTTGGACATCAGTGGAGACGTTGTCAACACCTCGTATGCCACCTGCCATGGCGACGCCTGGACGGTCCCGCGCTCGACAACAAACTACGGAAATCAGATGGTGAGATACCAGCTACCCAAAATGTTAAACACTTTTTTTTATCGCGGAATATTACGTTTAAAAAGTGTTCCAACAAACGCATACTATCTTTACTAGTTTCGTGAGAAATCTGATTATGTACTCTTGAGAGCGATTTTTGTTTTGAGTGCCTCCTCTGCTGTTGCTGTTGAAGGAGGAGAGGGCACTGTCAAGCAGTTTTTTACTGCTTCTTTCCCTCCTTTCTCTCTTCTTGTATGAAGAGGAATAAAGGAACTTGAAACTTGAAAACTTTAACGTGACGAATGTCCGTTGTGAATTCGGCCAGGAAGGCTAGCTGGCGAATCGCACGTGGTGTGCATTCAGACCCGGAATTGCAGATGGCGTAAGTTAAAGGCTTGTGGTCAGTCCATATTGTTGGTAATGGCCGACCCTCGACAAAATGTCGAAAATGTCGTACAGCCAAGTAGGCAGGCAGCCAATAGCTCACGTCCGAAAACGCTGTAGCGCATTTGCACTGGCTTGAGCTTCTTAGAAAAGAAACCAATCGACCGCCACTCTCTGTCGACTTTTTTGTTGTAGCACCGCTTCTACGGCTGTGGCAGATGTGTCAGTCATCAGCGATGTTGGGGCGTCATGCTCAAGATGTACTGGCATTGCTGCTTCTGCAAGTGAGTTCTTCACCTCGCTGAAAGCGCGTTCTGCATTTTTGCTCCGGGGAAAATATGAAGTCTGTCGCTCTTGTTTTGTTAGGAGGATCTCAAGGTGCTTGAGCAGCTTTGCGCAGTTCGGAACGAGCGTCGGTATAAAATTACCAAACCGAGGAACTGGCGAAGTTTGGCGGTCGTAGTCGGTCTCGGAAAATCTTTGATGGCTTGTTCCTTTAAAGGCAATGGACGAATGCCCGAGAAGTCAAGCCAATGACCAAGAAATTCCAATTCCGGAACTCCGAACGCACTTTTCGCGGCGTTGATGACAATGCTGTGGTTGATGACAATGCCGTGGCGCAGTCGTTCGAAGAGCAGGTCTAAGTGGGTCGCGTGCTCTTCAGGTGACTTGCTGGCTATGAGCAAATCGTCTACGTAGGCGAAGACAAAGGGAATCCTCGCGTGACAGCGTCGACGAACCGTTAAAATGACTAAGCCGCATTTCTGAGGCCAAAGGGCATGCGGAGAAATTCAAGAAGTCCGAACGGTGTTTTGATCGCTGTTTTCGGGATGTCTTTTTCGGCCACGGACATTTGGTGATTGGCCCATGTCAGATCAATCTTTGAGAAGATTTTCGCGCCTTGTAGGTTCACCATAAAATCCTGGATATTAGGTAGAGGGTACCTGTCCGGTACAGTGTTTTTATTTAGGACACGATAATCGCAACATGGCAGCCAGACTCCATTTTTCTTCGACACCATGTGTAATGGAGACGCAACAATGTGACGTGTTGGGCTAGTTGGTTTGAGGTGAACATCTTGAGAAGAAACAGCGGCAAAGAAACTTGGACAAGAGTAAAGGAACAAACGCGACAGGACGGCGCTGAATTAACAACTGTTGTTTATTACACAAAATTGGAAGGAAGAAAACAAGAAGCATCTTAATGAGATGAAAATATTTAGATACACACAAACGTGCCAACCAAGCAGCATATAATGTGTCTACATATGTGTATAGCGGAGGTCGCAGATGTTCCCGAAGATCCCGATGCGTAATGGTGGCCTGAGAAAATAAAAATTATTTTTTGAAGAACATGAATTGGGCGGTACCTAGCGCCACCTAGCCTAGAGACTTGCAATTACTCTGCTTGACCATGCCGTCTGGTGGCAAGCGATTTAACCTTCTTTCACGCTACGCGATAAACAGCGGCTTCGAGTTTGTTCTTTCGAGAGCGGCTTTTGGTTTCGCGGATTGGTTTGCCATTCCTCCGCGATGTGCGGTTGACGAAGGAATTGTCACTCGAGGAACAGCAAAGGTAAGACGTAAAAGGCGCGAAGTAACTGGGTATCGGTTGTCTCCGTTTAACATCCAGTGCTGACGACGAGAAGGCTGAGTAACTGCTTTCGAAACGGAAGTTTCTGTACCTGCGGGGGAATCTGGCTTCAGAAATAAGCACAGCTCGCGGAAAGCTCATGTTACGCTTTTATTTGCTGCTCCTCTCGTCCC